AGTGGAAGTATGTGGGGTTTGGGTGGTTAATTTCTTTGAGCAATTTGTAGAGTTGTATACCAGGTGTTTTATTCTGCAGTCAGAATAAATGCTGTGCAAATGTGCCATTCAGTACACATGCACCTGGCACATTGGTGTTTGGGTACTGAAGTGTTTTGAGGTTGTGTCCTTCCACCTTGGTCTAAAGAGTGTTTGGATTTACTTCGTGCACAAGCCTGTGTAGTGGCAAGATGAAGCGAAGACATCACTTGTATCTTGTCTTATTTGAACATACATTTTCCTCTAGGTAAACATAAATTGGAAAGCTCTGGCTTACCGAGGGGTTGTCTCCTTTATAAAACTCTTCAGGCTCAGATGCTGGACATGCTGGATATTGAAGGACTCCATCCTTTGTACAGTAGAGTTGAACAGTATTTAGAGGAATTTCCTGAAGAAAGGTAAGACTTAAATAGCTTTTCAGTTCTGGTTAAGGAGGTACACAGACAAGGTAGGCTCTGTGCGGGCACTGTCTCTTGTTATGTTGTATGTGGCCTTCTTTCATGGACTGCATGTTCTGAATTTCTAACTTGAAAGGCCAGGTAACATAAAAGATGAGCTTTATTGTCAAAAAGTTTTGGTGTTGCTCACTTCGGCCTGAATTTTTACATAATGATTACAGGAAGTTCACAGCAGAGTAAGAGAGAACAATACCCTGCTTCTTATCTGTGGAGGCTCTATATTTGAAGAAATATAGAGTAAGGTGGGTGGTTTTTCCTGCCTTTGGTACCTGTGGAGCTAGAAGTGCATCTGCAGTAATAATGTTTTTAGTCATTCCTAAGTCTATATTGGGCTACCTACAACCTGCCCTTTAAACCCCTGAATTTCATATTTGGCAACAATCTAGCCTGTGCCTGCGAGGCCCTGCAGCAGCTCTGAATCAGCCTGCCTTTGTTGCATGATATGAATAGCCCCAAATGGCAGTTTGTAACCCACATTGCAAGCATTCAAACCATGCTTGAGGCACAAAAATCTTTATTTTATGTTATTTCTTGCCTGGTAAGGAAATAATAGAATACTGGGCATTGCAAGGTGCTAAATTTGTTCTCAAATAAAGCTTATTAGTTGCAATAATAGTTGCTGGGACAAGCTTTGACTTGGATGCTGCTTTTACATTCTGGGCTGTAGCTTGCCTGTACTTTTGCCACTGCTCACACGAGGGCACTCTGGCTTCACATGCAAACCACTTCTGCTTGAGCTCATCAGGTCTTTGGGCTCCTCGTGCAGTTGAAGGGTTGTCCTACAGATAATGGGATTGGTCTCAAGTTCTGCTTAAATCACTTGCAGTGCAGCTTACTTGTATATTGTTAACCTTAAACAAGTAAATTGCAAAGGTATTCTTTTGTCTGTGTTGAGTTTGTATGCTGAACACCCCACTTTTATGGGCTCTGCTTTTCAGGTAGAGATCAGCTGTTCAACAGGGAAAGGGAGGAAGCCAGGAGGTAGACCACCCCCTTGTTAGAATACACTAAGAAGCAGGGGCAGAGCAGGGCCTTGCCAGAGGAGTCAGTATGCTCAGCAAGGCTCTGTTAAATGTTTTGAAACTTACTCATTTTTGTAGTGATAAACAGGTGGCAGTGGATTAACAATGATCCATCTTTAAAAATACCTAAACCAAACAGCTCAAGTCCTAAGAAGCAGCAAGTCTTGAGTGATATGAGAATAACAGGGCCTGGTCATGGTGTCAGATCTTTGAGTATTAACCTGTTGCTACATTTATTAGTGTTATTGTTTGTTCTAATTGGAGTTTGTGGGCTGCAAATAAAAAAGTGTGCTTGAAAACCTGTAAATCATCTTAGCTGTCTGTAAATATTCTTTTAAAAATTTATTTAGAAGCACGTTACAGATAGATGGACCTTACAATGAAGCATTTTATGAGAAGCTGCTAGATCTTTCAACTGAAGATGACGGGACAGTAGCATTTGCGTTAACAAAGGTACGTTCCCTGTGTGTGGTGTTGAAGCTTATTTAGTCTGTTAATACACTACTGTCTCACTGGAAGGGATGAACAGTGTGTCAGCATTGCTACTGGCTTACCAGAGGTCTGCATGGTCAAAAATTCTTCATTGTGCCAGGGTGCATCTGTATTGCAGAAGGAGTTAAAACCAAACATGTTTAGCACCAGTTCTAGGGAGAAAAATTGAGCTGGTGGTTGCCTTTCTGGTTTGAAGAGGCATTTGCATGGGCTGGTGCTGTTCTGGCCTTCAGTTAAAGTACCTATCTGTAGGAAATAAACAGGATTCTTATACAGGATGCTGTAAAATCACTTGCTTCTGTGAACCATCTGTTACAGAGATAATTTCCAGCTTTTAAAGTACCAACACACTGAGTATGCTAATGCCTTCTGTAAAGAACAGCATGCTTTGCTAAAGGCAGATAAAGTGTAAGAGAAAATCTGTGTGATTTTTATGTTGTGCAGGTGCAGCAGTACAGAATAGCAATGACTGCTAAAGACTGCTCCCTCATGATTGCCCTTTCACCCTGCCTGCAAGATGAATGGTAAGAGGTGCCTGCTTCCAAGTGACTCCCCCTGATTTAGAAATTGAAGATGCATTTGCACAGTTCAGTCAAATAACTTTAAAAAGTGGGGATTTGGATTTTGGGGGTGGGGGCAGCATCCAAATATTTGTCTGTGAGCTATCAGTAAGGGAGAGTTCCGATTTAAGATAGTTAGGACAAATGTCTGTTTCTGAAGTTTTAAGTTGATACAAAAGATAAAGGTTTTATATTTTACTCCCATCCTAAAATTTGACTTGACTGTTTATAGTAGATATACATGTTTTTAACTAGGCACATACAATTCTGCCGTGGTGTCCTTGTATGAGAGCTTTTTCAAGGCAAGCTGCCATTAACTGCCTAATTAGAATAATAGGCAATAATAGAGGTGACTTGCTGTAAGGCAGGAGGCTCTGCCATGGTGTTGTCCATCTTGACTTATGTCACCAGTAGTGGTCTGCTTTTCTGTAGGGGAGTTTGTTTCTCCCAAGCCTTGTTATTTCTGGAGAATATTGTTTTCTGCATTTGCCTTGCAGTTCTTGAATAAAACATTCATTATGGAGATGATTTGTGTAGTGGTTGACCTGAGTCCTCCATCCTTGAGTATATGCTTGAGCATTAGTTCTAATACTAAATTTGTATTACCTTGAACCTGAGTAGGAGCTGCAGTGATTCTTTCTGCTTTTGCTGACTATTAAGGATGTTGCTTTGAATTCATACCACCTAGAACAGGTTAGGTTTACTACACACAGACACAGTAATTGAGAGTAATGTTTTGAATTAAGCTGTGTGGAGGCTGAAAGGAAAATGCTGGAAGAGGTGTCCGCATGTTCACTTTATGGCTGGTTAAGCTGGAGCTATAGTTTCCTAAATTCTACATTAGCTGAATTTCTTTTCCTTGTTTTCCAGCTCTGAGCAAAGACCTGTGGTACTCACATCCAAATCGAGATTCACCTTTTCTGTTTCTGTGCTGGACCTTGACCTAAAACCATACGAAAGCATTCCCCACCAGTACAAACTGGACAGCGAGATAGTTAACTATTATTTGAAGAATGTACAGGCCAAAGATGACCCAGTGATGTCCACTCTCTTCAAGGAGAATGAAGACTGCACATTAGTTCTCCATAAAGTGTAACCATTTCCTGAAGGTTATTTTTATTCAAACACATTAGAAATTGAAAGATTAATGGAATACAGTTATGGTGGTTTTTTTTCCCTATTGTGTTCAGTGCATCTTTCAGCTGTGAATGTTTTTGCTTTCAGAAATGACTTCTAATTGGTATGCCTTTCAAAGACATGGAATAGCACTAAAACGCACGTTTGCTCCATAATGTCAATGAATGTATTTAATATGACAGATCAGATAACGTGCCATACCTTGGAACTAGAGGACAGATGCGATTAATACTAAAAGTTGAATTCCTTCTTAGAATTGAAAGAGCACAGAATGAAAGGTTTCCTGAAGTATTGCACTAACATAGTAAGCCTAATTACTAACAGGATAATTGCCTTGGAGCTTGTGCTCTGAGCCTCACTCATACCCACTAGAGGAGTGACAAAACCTAACATGACATTTTAGCATTAAATACAGATGTACTGAATTAATAAATATAACCACATTAAATACAGCATTTAGCAGAAAATACAGCTGAGGTGCCTACTCCAGCGTTACAGACCTGTGGAACTACTGTGTTGCTGCCAAATGCTTTTCAGTGCTAACACATGAGATTAAGAACACCAGACTGCCTCCAGCAGCTCTGTGGTCACCTTGCATCTACCTAAAGCTTCTGAAACAAAGTGAAGAGGGTTAAAGGCAAATGTCTTTACATTGTACATGACAGCTGGGCTTAATGCCTCTGGCATGCTGGTCTTGTATTTTCTATACATTATGTGCTGCTATTGAAGGTGAAACCACAGCTTGCTCATACCTAATTTTAGATGAACTGTAAGAATAATATATTCTACAAATTATGTCAGAACTTTTAGGTTGTGTCAAATGGTGGCATTATATCACTGATATCGCACATGCTGTGTAGTACGAGCAGCCACTTTCAGGCTCATTTGTTTTAAGTAATGCAAAAAACCTGGCTTTCTTTTCTGAAGGGGTCACTTTCTCGTGTGACTACTGGAGCTAAGCTTGTATCACTACATCAGCAATTTAATGATGGGTTTGCTTTTTAAATGTTAGTATGTGCAGCAGAAGCCTTGTGAGAGGTTGCAGTAAAAGCCATCCTCAAGGAAGATCTCGAGCTGGAGACTGAAGATGTATCCAAAACAGAAGGTAGATGGTAAAATCTACAGGCACTTTCCCTGCATGCTTGTGGATTGCACACCCAGAAGTGTGCAGAGATGCTGTTCAAGCTACAGTGACCTGCGATTACCTGAATGCAGCATGTGCTTCCTGGTCATGTTTTTCACAGTAACGTAGGTTAGCATTTAGAAAATATATTTATATTGGGATTTTGGGCTGAATGGTTCAGTTTTACTTGAAACTCAAAAAGCAAAGTGAGAAAACCCCGTACAACTCAAAGGTATGAGCTGCAGAATCATACCACTGCAGAGCTTTTCTGCGGGTGGCAACACATGTTAGTGGGGTGCCTCACTGAAATGTGACACTGCAGCAGGGCAATAAGCTGGTAGGTGACAGTGATAACAACCCCTTCTTTCCAAAGGAGACCTGGGGGGAAGAGAGGCTACTTTAAAATCCAGAAATCCTCCAACTGTTAGAGGAGGAGGGAAGGAAACTTTCCAGGATTTTATGCTCTTAACTTCACACACCTTTTTTATGCAAGTAAAGAGCATGTGCTGTTACCAAGTTTCATTTTCATGGAAGAAAGAGCTAAAGATGAAATACACTAAGGGTTACACAAAACAAGCTAAACCAGTAATACGTCAGTGGATAAAGAGTACTGCATTGTGCCTGTCTACTAGATTCCAAACTTGAAATTAATCTGCCTGATATCTAACAAGGTATTCTGTTACAGATTGCTGCTCATTGAACCCTGATCCCTGGCATTGCTCAACTGTAGATTCTGACAGAAACCAATCCAGCCTCCCAGTTTTTCCTGACCTACCAGAACAGTAGGAGACTGAGTGATCAAATAGCAGGTTATTACAATTACGGTATTACAAACATACTGTTTCTTTAGCTCTTGGTTTCTCCACCTATTTCACCGTTGCTATAACATATTTTTTCATAACTGATAAATGGAGCTGGCAAACTGCTGCTGATACGGTTAGAGCAGTCGTGGATTTGAAGAGGAAGTCTCATGACGTTATTGAGATTCTGGTTTGTGGCTTTGGCCCCTTGATTCCAGGAGCAGCTGTCATTCCCTACCAGAGAAGTATGTGACTTAGTCATGTAGATTTGGTCTGGATAAAGCAGTTAGTTATGATGAATGTCTAGTGCAGAGCAGGTACTCCTGAGAAATGCTGAGAGGTTGCTGGTGAGCTAACAGTACATCTGGTGGAAGTGAAGAAGTGAAGGGAGATCTGTCCACTCTGGTTTCTTTAGGGATGAATGTATGAAATGTGATGCATTCGTAACTAGACTTTCCCCCTGGAGGTAGGAAATCAAAAGGAAGTATTGCAGTGAGCAGTCCTTAACTTGTCCATCTCTCCTCACAGAAGTGTAGTGGCTCTTTCTAGGTTAATGCTATCTCTCCTCAACACTTGCTGTGTGGAAAAAAGTTACTTCATACAGTTACCATTTTTTTCCTTTTTTGCTTTTAGCATAGTATGTCTTTGAAACCTTCAAATTGTCTACTTCCACCCTAATTTAATGAGAAAGCTATTTAACTCTTTGTTCCAGGAGTCTCTTACTGTTCTCTTGTCCTTTTAAAATCACTGTACTTTTACAGAGCTGTGAAATGAAATGGATTTTTATGGACTTGATTTTTGACAGTGCATGATCTTTTAACACTTTCCAGGTATCTAGAAAATGTTAAGAAGATAAAACCACTCTGGTACATTAATGATTCAGAAAGATAAATTTATAATGAATTCACTCTGTACATGTAACTATTTTATTTGGCATTTTTGTATTTAAATGGCTGTATTTATTTTCCTGTCATGACAATTTATATATAACGTGCCATAATTGTACAGATAGCATGTTTTATGAGTATGGTTTCTAAATGGAAAATAACTTAATGTTTATATTCAATGAAATTATAGACTGTGTAACACAATATCTGAATTAAAACTACTTTTGAAATTGCTATCTATTGCAAATAAGGCTGGTAGTCATCTTTCCGAGCCAAATACGTTGACCAGGTTCTCAATTGCTTCCTCTATCCCAACCAGAAGTAGCATGCTCCGGAAATAGGTGGGTGCATTCTCAATAGTTGCCATATTCTGGTCCAGGACTGCAAGAAAAACACAACCACAAATGGGATTTTCCAACAGCTGCACTGTTACTGGAAGCCAAAGCAGGTTCCCTGCTGTCTAGAATAGGAGGACAAGCTTGTTAGGTTGTGTGAGCCCTGTTAAGTGAAGTGACACAGGAGCTGAAGCTTAGCTGCTTCCTAAATTCTGATCTGTTTGCCTGTCTGGGCTCCACAAAAGGGATTTCCATGTGCCCTGAAGAGATGTTGGGAAGAAAAGGGGACAGGTGTTGCTCAGAAACAGGCTCTGAAGTGACTGATGTTACCTTGCTTTGGTACTTTAGTCAGAAGGTCCAGAACAGGTGTAGATCTCCCTTCCTCATCGATGTGTATCTTCCAAACAATCATTAATTCAAACCTGTAGCATAGGCACAGAAAAGCTGGTTAAGGGTTAACTCAGCACCTGTCTGTGAGGTTTCTTCAAAGCAGGAAGTGCAGTAGTTGAAGGTTCCACTCAGCGTGCTCTTACACAAAATTCACCCCAAGGAACGCAAAACCCTGATCTCTGGTTCTGCATTCAGAACCAAATGTGTACTGAAACCAAGGAAAACCAGTGAGCTACTGCTAAGGAACTGTTCCAGGCATGCTCCAATTCTCGGCCTCAAAGGTTTTTCCCGTGGTTCATGTTCATCCCTTAGGAATGGTAAGTTTCCATGGCAGTGGTAAAAAGTAAGATAGAGAAAGGAAAAAGGGCATCTCTCTGTGCTCTATTTGCACCTTGTGCTCAGGTGTCACACTTGGATATGGGATGAAAATGGAGAAAAATAATTTCAGATTAAGCATTTTCATAAACAGGGGTGTTCTGGGTTTCAAAATAAGGTCCACTCCACTATTCATGGCCTCTTTTGAATAACACACAGGGGTAAATCTGTCTTAAGGTCTAGAGTCCTGCATTGGTTTGCTTTTAAGTTTTTTTTAAGTACTCTTCACCCTCATTACTCCCTCAAGGGTCTTGGTGGTGCTTTCTGCAAGGCAAAGTATTAGTTCCAGCTTTTGCAGCAGGACGAGGTCACTGCACTCTACAAAGAGATGAGTGAGGCCATTGGATTTTGCGGGGGAAGACTCACGTACACAAGGGTTACTCTAAAACAACAGCTGTAATGAATTCTCTGCTTTACTATATTTTGTATTTCCCTCCTATCTCTGCTTTTAGGAGTATTCCTCATGGAAAGTAAGGCTTTCCTGATCCCGGTTGATAGGCGTGTTAACAAGTCATTGCAAGCATTGACCAATTGTGACTCTGGAAGTTTCCTTTCACTAGGATTTGCTGGCCTTTTGCCACTTCATTCTTAAGAATTCTTTGGGAATTTGTACATAGCTTGTGCTGGGATTTTGCAAACCAATTAATATGCCAAGTGTATTTCTACTAACCCACTGAAATGGTGGGATTGGGTGAGAGGGCATATATGTAGTGGCACTTGGCACCTGGTGACATGAAGAGAAACTGCAGAATACCACCTAGTCACAATAGTTTTCTGACTATGCTGGGCTCAGAAAGATTCAGTTCAGCAACCTAGAGTTAAAAGGGCTTGGTTTTAAATGGCAGATCTGGCTAAACCAGACAGTACTACCCACACTAGGGTTTATTTGTATTTGCTTGGGCTAACAGTAATAACAATAAAGGGGAGTGCAGTGCTCCCCTCCCTTGCCTGATTTCCTTCTAAAAAATGGAAAAATACAACTCTGGCTGTTCTCAGTCACAGTGGCTGCAGTTTTATTTCCATTCTGTAAGGGAAGATGACTGGAGAGCTATGCTTTGCCTGGGTGTGGTGTGATTGCTGCATTGAAGAGAGCAGAGCTGTACCTGCAAGCTCCAACAGTGCCTGTGCATGCAAGGATGGAGCATCTCAGGCACCAGGGTGGAATTCCTAAATTTGGAATTTAGACTCTTCATTGTAGCACGAGCTTCCAAAACTAAATAATGGATTTTGTTTCTAAACACAAAAGGCTGCTTGAGTCCTCTATTTTTTCCATCTAGCTTTTTAAGAGTAGGTACAGGCTGTAGCAATGCGATGATTGATTTTTCATTTCTACATATAATTAGTTGTTTTTTTTTAATCTCTTCACATTTTTAATGTGTGGTTATAGCCCTAAAATACAACACACACGATGTAGGCTTTGTGTTTAAACACATTACAAAGCAGAGTGACACCGTTCAAGCAGACCAACAGCTTGTCCCTATGTGTTTCACAATCCTTTATCTGCATAAATCAAGAACTGGTATTGGCTCACCCAGAAGTTTTGGGGTTCCTCAGCAGTATATAATCTCCCAGGAGGCCTTCCGGAAGGGTCACAATGTCAGGATATTTTTCCTGAGAATAAATAGGTTCAAAAGGGTATAAATTAGGTCACAAAAATTGTAGACAAGGTAGTTTATAGCGAGTGCTTTCCAGTTGCAATGCATCTTACCAGCTTGCATCTGTAGTAGTATGGTCACTCTAAACTAACAAGTTTAAGTTAGAATCGTAGAATAGTTAGGGTTGGAAAGGACCTTAAGATCATCCAGTTCCAACCCCCCTGCCATGGGCAGGGACACCTCACACTAAACCATCTCACCCAAGGCCTCGTCCAACCTGGCCCTGAACATTGCCAGGGATGGAGCATTCACAACCTCCCTGGGCAACCTATTCCAGTGTCTCACCACCCTAACAGGAAAGAATTTCCTCCTTATAGCTAATCTAAATCTGCCCTGTTCAAGTTTTAACCTGCTATCCCTTGTCCTATCACTACAGTCTCTAATGAAGAGTCCCTCCCCAGCATCCCTATAGGCCCCCTTCAGATACTGGAAGGCTGCTCTGAGGTCTCCATGCAGCCTTCTCTTCTCCAGGCTGAACAGCCCCAACGTTCTCAGCCTGTCTTCATACAGGAGGTGCTCCAGCCCCTGATCATCCTCGTGGCCTCCTCTGGACTTGTGCCAACAGCTCCATGTCCTTTTTATGTTGAGGACACCAGAACTGCACACAATGCTCCAGGTGAGGTCTCACGAGAGCAGAGCAGAGGGGCAGGGTCACCTCCTTCGACCTGCTGGTCACGCTCCTTTTGATGCAGCCCAGGATACGGTTGCTTTCTTGGCTGCGAGCGCACACTGCCAGCTCTTGTTCATTTTCTCATCGACCAACACCCCCAAGTCCTTCTCTGCAGGGCTGCTCTGAATCTCTTCTCTGCCCAACCTGTAGCTGTGCCTGGGATTGCTCCGACCCAGGTGTACGACCTTGCACTTGGCATGGTTAAACTTCATGAGGTTGGCATCAGCCCACCTCACAAGCGTGTCGAGGTCCCTCTGGGTGGCATTCCTTAACTCCAGTGTATCAACCGACCACACGGTTCCAACACCGATCCCTGAGGGACGCTGCTCATTACTGGTCTCTAGCCGGACATTGAGCCATTGACCACAACTCTTTGTGTGCAGCCATCCAGCCAGTTCTTTATCCACCGAGTGGTCCATCCATGAAATTGATGTCTCTCCAATTTAGAGACAAGGATGTCGTGTGGGACAGTGTCGAACGCTTTGCACAAGTCCAGGTAGATGACATCAACTGCTCTACCCCTGTCCATCAGTTCTGTAGCCCCATCATAGAAGGCCACCAAATTGGTCAGGCAGGATTTCCCCTCAGTGAAGCCATGCTGGCTGTCACCAAGCACCTTGTTGATTTTCATGTGCCTTAGCATGCCTTCCAGGAGAATCCGCTCCAAGATTTTGCCAGGCACAGAGGTGAGACTCACTGGTCTGTAATTCCCCGGGTCATCCCTCTTCCCCTTCTTGAAAATGGGGGTTATATTTCCCTTTTTCCAGTCGTCGGGAACTTCACCTGACTGCCATGATTTCTCAAATATGAAATTCTGACATACTGGGTTTGGTTTATTTTGTGGTGTTTAAAGTTTGAATGGTTTGGCTTTTTTTTTTGTGAAGTACCTCTCATGGGATATCAAGAGATACTTAAATTTGGTCACCTCAGAGGGACAACCAGCATTGTGCGCTTGCTTGTACAAGCAGACTTAGAGGCCCTTGTGCATGACCTTGGAAACCTTGAAAGATTATTTTTTACCTCAGTTCTGTTAATTTGATTTTAATAGCACATTATAACACATCACCATGGCACTAGGCTCTGCTCTGTGATTTCCATAACTTCACTACCATGCTCTGTTTTGCTACTTTTGAGAAACTGGACCACCAAGCTCCACACAGAGCTTTGAAAGCATAAAGTAATAAAGGCAATGAGATACCAACATAACCACTATTATCAAAATATAACAGGACAATGGGAACATGATGAAACATAAAACTACTTTTAAACTTCCATATTAGTGGGAATTAGAGCTATTTTCCACTTCTACATTATTAGTGCCTCTAATATTTTACAGTCTTGAAATTACCCAAGCCTTGCAACTTCTGCTATAACTATTTTAAAAGCATGTAAAAGAAAAGCAGAATAGTAGCTGTGGATGGATTCTTTAGAAGTTCTGTAGTAGGAAAGGTGACAGGTTACCCGGGAGTATGAGGAGCTGCAAGGACATGCTCTTGGAAAGGAAAACAGAATCCAGATGCAGCCTGTTCCCAGAAGGCTTCAGCGCTGTTACTCCCTTGTACTGCCTCATGTACTGGATACAAAGCTGTGTTCCAAAGATTGCCTTTATAAAGTGTGAAAAGTCTGTGAGCCTATATCATTCCACAGAGCTCACAGGACAAGTGGCGTGCCTTATGGAAAAGGAACAGGAGAGCTCATCTTTGAAAAGCACTGGAGAAAATGAGCTTGCTTCTGCAGAATTACGCCTCATCTGGCTGACTGAAATTGCTACCAGATGTGATCTTGCTCTGGTTTAGGAATTTATGACAAACTGAAGAGGATTGGAGCAGAATGCCAAATGACATAAATCACATGGAATTTGCCAGTTTTAATGTCTACAAAGGATCTAGCACTGTATTTACCACAGGGATAAAGACCACGAACTATCCTGGGAACAAAGACACAGAGGGAGAAACAAAGCACACGGGAGTTACAGCACAGAAACGTGCAGGTCTCGGGTCACTCGCCTACCAGAACAGTCATCTTTTTCCAGCTCTGCTCCCTGTGGAATTACACTCCTCTGAGGAGAAAATAAAACAAGTTTTTGAGACTTTGCTTCTCACTAACCTTTGTCTTTAATGTTCTCCATTTAATATCAGAGGTCTCAGAGATTCTAGCAATTTCTTTAGCTCCAGGTTGCAAATACTTATTATTGCAAATAATTTAGTATTAGCTCATATCTGGTGAACTCAACTCTGAAGTTCCTTGTTTACAAGAGGTCCCAAGCATACCATAGCTAAACATGGAGTCAGGTTTTATCTTCACCCACTCATACCTAAGACCTTTGGGAATCACAAGAGAAAATAGATCAGAGGAACTAGATAAGAGTTCAGCTTTTCAAATCACTCTAAACCACACCCCTGACTTCCATCCTCACCAATGCACTTACCCCAGCTGGGAGTGGTACTTTCTGTGTACAGAAGCCAGAGGTATCCCAAGGAAATCTCAGGATGTGATTTCCTTTGTACCTGGAAGTGTGTGTTGGCAAGTTTTGCACACAGCAAGTGGGTATTCTGTGCTGCCAGTAAATGCCAGAGTCTTAGCAATCAATCCTAATACCATGAAAATCTGATCTTGTATGAAATTCACAGGTTTGGGATAAAATCCAGCATCTTAGCAGGAAAGATCATATTTTAGCAATCCACAAAACATAAAAAGGCAAAACACAAATAGCTACATCTCTCTCTGGGCAGAAAACACACTAGAACTGAAATCTAACTGTGCATGAAGCTGTGCTTGACCCAGGCCCTCATGAGGATGCATGGCTTGTGTCTCAGCAAAGGTGACTCCTTGAAATGACCACAGCAGAAGCAGGGAGCAAAACTACCACACCAGGATTAGGTGAGCAATCTTAAACACTGAAAACACAGGGAAAAAGCCAGGAAAGGCAGTCACACAATCTACCTTTTCTATTCCACACATAAAATGTAATATCTGTATCTCATGAGAAACATGTGAATCTGCCATGTAAAGGAACACCAAAGCACAGCGGATGCAAAAACTGCAACAGTCCTGACAGAACTATAATTCCAAACACACTTTGGGGGTACCAGATCATCACCTCATCTCTGCTGGGCCACTTTTCCAAGTTTTCGCAAGGGAAACGCTGAGCAATAACCAGGGCAACAGAATGGCCCAATCCACGGAAAGGTCCCATAGGAAAGTCCAAAACTCATGCGGGATGTCATAAACTGGACATAGGGCAACCGAAAGGTATCACAGCAAGTACTGCGATGCCAGATGGGAAGGATCAGCTACAACTGCACTAAACAAAACCTGACTTGAATTAAGAAATGTCTTTCCTCAGATGGTTTTTAAATGTCAGTTTATGATCAAAACCAAAAAGGCTGTGCTATTATTACTTCTGGACGGAAATTGTTTTTCCAGCTCCTTCAGGAGTCCGAGCAGGGAATCTTATGGGAACTTGTGTCTAAAACAGAAACAGTCTCAAATCACAAAGGGATGACTTTCATGATGGAATACACAGTCTTCCCTTTCTCCCATGACACATCTTACATAAACATACACATGCAGCCATCTGAGTGAACACGCTTGTAGGATCTATTTTTAAGCAAAATCTGGGGAATTTTCTGCATGCTAAAACTCTTCTAAGGACATTGCTTTAAGTTAGTCAGCTTAAAAGCCATGGCTACGAATGCAAAGCAAAACTGGCAAGACAAAAGCTGTAATAAAAGCAGATTGATTTGTTTCCAACCGACTTGTCAAGAAAGTAATGCTACTCTGCTCTTAGTTGGAACGGTACTTCACCGTTACACTACTAATTTTGAACTTGGCATTCTGTAAGCAGGACTGTACATAAGAAGTCATGCTACTGTGAGTCCCTTCATAGGTGTGAGCTACATTTACTAAAGATTCTCCACTTGGGCTCTGATTCGGGTGATTTGTATGTGTGGCTTGCTCAACTAAGGCCATATTATCAACTCCTGAAGGCAAACACATGGTGGCTGCATCAAGACTTTAAAATAACAACATCAGTGTAGCTTTAGTAATTCAAATACAAACTATTTGCAAAACCAAGGAAAATTCTAGATAACTTTAGAATACCAATAACAACATGGTTAAATCCCAGAAACATTAAACCACCAGCACTAAATCCACTGCCACCAGTCTGCTGCCCACTGCAAAAAAATGAGGTCAATCCCTTTAGCATTGCCCAAAGGGAAGCTGTCCTGGCGTACTGCTCCATGTGCTCTGGGTGGGATAGTCTCCATTCCAAGTAGCTGCAT